TTTTTTTCTGAGACAAGTTTCTCTGTAGCTTTGGAGCCTGTCCTTCAACTAGCTCTTGTAGACCAGGCTGGCCTCAAACTCACAGAGATCCTCCTGCCTCTGCCTCCCAAGTGCTAGGATTAAAGGTGTGCACCACCACCACCTGACTAAGGAGCAGATTTAAAATATTTGTATGTGCACAAGCACGTGCGTGAGCACACATGGGTAGGATGTTTCTGTGGGTCAGGGGCAGGTGTAACAGCATGCATATGGAGGTCAAAGGACAACTTTGTAGACTTGGTTCTCTTGGTTCCAGGATCAAACTCAAGTCATCCGACTTCTCGACAAGCTTCTTAACCCTCTGGGCCGCCCGTCTCCCTGGAGATTAGATTGGACGGGAGCTGCCAGTTTTCTTTTGGAATTGTAAAAATAGCTTCAGTATGGAAGTGTTTAAAGTTCATTTATTGCTAGGTGGTGGTGGCACATGCTTGCAATCCTAGCATTCAGGAGGCAGAGGCAGGTGGATCTCTGTGAGTTCGAGGCCAGCCTGAAACAAAGCAAGTTTCAGGACAGCCAGAGCTGTGCAGAGAAATCCTTTCTTGAAAAGCCAAACACACACATAGAGTTTATTTAGTACATATTTAATGTACCTTACTATGCAGTGTGGAAATGTTGGAAATATCATGGGAAAGGGGGAAAGGAGCCAGATGGTCACTTGTACTTTTGTGTTTGAGGCAGAATGGAAACTGACACTCCTATCAGAATGGAGGCATATGAATAAACTTGTGGGCACTAGCGTTGTAGATGGCCACTAAATACCAGGTGACATCTGGGGAGCGGGAGGAATCATTTCAGACCCTTAGCAGACCCAGAGGTCCAGACAGAGTTCCAAGAATACCTGTAGCTATGGGGCTGAGAGGAACCCTCTGACCCTGAGTATAGGAGGTTTGGAGAGGAAGGGAAAAGAAACTACAGAAGTGGTTTGTAAGCACCTGATGGTTTATTTTTTATCAGAGGAGCAAGTTGTTCTTTGGGCTTTTTTATGAGTCCGTGACTGTAGAGTGTAAGGCTGTCTGGTTCCTTTATAGCCCAGGTTTAATGGATGCCAGCGCTCCCCTTCAGGCCCCCAGGGAAGAAGATGGAGGGGACCATGAGAGGGAAAAGGAGAACTGGAAAGATCACTTGTTCGTCCTCTGGGGTCAGTTCAAATAGCCTGTGGGAGTGGTCTTGACCCTCCCTGGGGCCTGGGGAGGGGTCATTGTTTGGCAGGCTTTCTTGGAGGTGGAGTCTGGACTGAGGTAACTCCTAGGGGAGGGGGCTTGACATGGAACTTTCCAGCCACCATTCCAAAATGGGTGCCAGGGGCTGGGGTGAAGCCCCGCCCAAACATTCCTAACTCTTTGGATAAGGATGTTAGAGGCTGACATGATGCTTCCAATTAAACATCCCAGACTCTCTGGGTATTGGGGGTGCCAGCTGGCCAACAGTTGTGCAGGTCTAGACTCTGAAAGCAGGCTAACTTCCATAGCCACCAGATGTATTCTGAAGCCTTGCTTGGAGATGAACAGCTCCTGTCTTCTTTTAGGTCACAGCTCTCCTCTAAGAAGGCATTCATTTTCTCTGAGGCCCTGCTCATTCGTAAGTTCTGATTTAATATGAGCTCTGCTGTTGGGGTGTGTGTACCCCCTCCCACAATGCTGGCGTGGAGGTTTGGTGCAAACAGTGCAGGTAATGGAGCAGCACGCTTTCGCATGGATGTCTCCTTGCCTGGCAGTGCGCAGAAGTATTTTGAACCAGTCGGTGACTTCACTGTCTGTTCCAGGCAAATGGCGCTCAGATTCATTCAGAGATCCTGGGATTCTGCTGGAAGGCGTCCAGGTGCCGACAAATTATCCATTTGCCAAGGGACATTTTCATCCTGATGTGTCACACGTCACTTGCTCAGAATTGATTTCTTTGTTCCTCCGATGTTACCATTTGTGAAAACAGCGATTGCGGCTCGAGAGGGTTTTGCTTCCAGGAGTTCTGCATTTAGGATTCAAACCCTTCAAGATTGCAGACTGGAAGATTTCAGAGTTTAGGTAGCTTGCCCATTTGGGATCTCAGCATTTGTTATTGTGTCTAGGGACGGTGACACTAGTGTTTTACACCAGCTCCATCTCTACCCGGGGGATGTACTCCAGGTACACTTTCTGCACGTTCTCTACGGTATCCACTTGCTGCCCATCATAAGAGGGAAATGTTTACGAAGCAAGCAGTAACTGCACACCAAGGAGGCTCTGCAGCTGTCAAAAACCACGAGGGGAATGCGCACAGGGCAGGGGGTAACTCATAACATGCGGGGCGAGAGAAGAAAATGGACTAGATCTAAAGTAGAAACCGTTAATGAACAATTAAACTGTGTATATGACAAAAACTACACAATTTAAAAGAATAGGTTTATGCCCAGGGGTTGAGGATGTTCTCTAAGAACCTATGTTGAGAGACAGGGAGGATGGGGGTGGGGTGGAGAAGGAATTGGCAGTGCTGGAAGGAGCCAAACCAATGCAGACTTTGTTACCGCTCTCTGACCCGAAGGCCACCACTCTCCAAATGGAGGCACCTGTTAGGAGACTGATTGATGCCAGTCACAACACCGCAGTCCTTGCCACCAATGGGTAAGGATAGGAAAACGCGGCACTAGCTGACTCAATCTCTATGAAACAGGCTTTTCTAGAGGGGCGATGCTATCTCTAAGTTAGGTGAGGTGAGAGGAACATATTACTCAGATCATCTTGCTCATGGAGAAGCCTAGGAGGATGCTTAGGAACACAGTGGAGTGGAAAATGCACACACAGGAGGCTAGACTAGTCAACCGTCCCCGGCTTTCCTTCCAATGTTTTGCAGGCGGTGGACACTAAAGCCCACTGAATACACATGCATCTCTGGGCAAGCATCCTCCTGTATGGACTATAACGTCAAATACCAATATCTGCCACCTCTTTTGGCTTCAACACTGTGAGCCAATGAAGGGTTTGAAATTGTGCACTAACTTGTTTTTCCACCTCCGCAGAGAATAGAACCGGAGTTGATGAGTCTTGCAGTGAGAGAATTGATTAAATCTAAGGAAGAACTTTCCTAAACTGAAGGTCTATTAACCACCGGAATGACTTTGCATGGAAGCTGGGACTCCTGCTCCCTTGTGATCACTGGGGAGAGGCGGCAGCTGCTGTGGGCAGTGTGCATTGCCGAGAGCTCTGCCTCAGTCAGAGCGGAGCTAGGAGCTCTGAGGGTCCAGGTCCTGGGGTGACTGCTGTTTGGGGTACAGAAATGGAAGGAAATGTCTGTGACTAAAGTGTCTTTTGTCTCAAACGACTCTTGCGTCCCGGGTCTCTTGCCTTCTGTCAAGTTGATGCAGGGTAGGCAATTGGCCTCCTGTGCCTTTGGCTCCTCTCTCCAGTCATAGAGGATTAGATTTTGTCTGACTCGGTATCTAAGTGTGCCATTCAGCTTGGTGGGGTTGGGGGTCAGGCAGTGGTCATCACTACCGTTGAAGTTGCTCAATGAGGTGTTTCTGCCTAAATGAACTATCCTTCATGTTCAGGCTCACAAAGTTTGCCCCATAGCAAGCTGAGGTCACTCTTAGTTTGTGGCTATTCCAAACGGATTCTAAGAGTTTCTTCCAACAGATTTCTCAGGACATACCTTGCTCCCTCTCCCATAGACGATCTTGGTTTGATTTGGATTGTTTGACTACAAAAGGCCAGAGGCCAGCATTTATTTAGAAATATTAAGAAATATCTGCAGCAAAATGAGATTGAGATTTTGTAGAAAGTTAAAGATCTCCCATTTCGGAAGAGCTTACACAAGACCCCATTAGTCAAGCCATGGTAGTGGTTAGTCTGACTTTTTTCAGGCAAAAGGCAAAAAGCCATTCCAAATGCCCGGAGACTGTTTAAAACCAACCACCCCGTAAAGAATGTCTGCGAAGAACCCCTGCTGGGTCCAAAGTATTTTCTATTAACTAAATGTTCACATTGAGATCAATAGATGAACTTGTGAGCAAAATGACTGCTTATAAATGTGTGGTTGTTTTCAAATGGCAGATCTTAGGTCTGTTAC